CCCACTGTATATATATATATATATATATATATATATATATAAACTTGAAAAACTTAATTAGAAATGGTGTCTAGACAACTAACTGAAATAAAATAAGTTCTAAATAAAATAAGTACTAAAAATGATAAATTAAGGCTAAATAAAAATATTTAAAAATGACAAAAGCTTATAACAAAAAAATAAACACAAATTAAAATTAAATTAAATATTTAAATTAAATTAAAAACTGAAACAAAAAACTAAATGTTATTAAATTAAATCTGGAAATATAAAAATGAAATGGTATATATATACTAGTATAATAGTATATATTGGGGGAAGTCGTGGCCTAATGGTTAGAGAGTCGGACTCGTAACCCAAAAGGTTGCGGGTTCGAGTCTCATACCAGCAGGGATTGTAGGTGGGGGGAGTGAATGTACAGTGCTCTCTCCCACCTTCAATACCACGACTGAGGTGCCCTTGAGCAAGGCTCAACCCCAACTGCTCCCTGGGCGCCGCTGCAAAAATGGCTGCCCACTGCTCCGGGTGTGTGTTCACGGTGTGTGTGTGTTCACTGCTGTGTGTGCGCACTTTGGATGGGTTAAATGCAGAGCACTAATTCCAAGTATGGGTCACCATACTTGGCCACCTGTCACTTCACTGTCGTAATATATACACACTGATCAGTGATCAACCACTTGCCAAATAGCTATTTTGAGGGTGTTATAAGTAAATAGAGCTGGACCTCCTCAATCCACTCCAAACTTACATTTAGTTCTGAATTCATTGTGTTGTAAAACATCCACTTTTCATGATCCAATCAATTCCCAATCGGAAAAAAAAATAAAAATCTTCTATGCACTGAAGATCCTGTATGTCACGTGAATTTAAAATGGGTTGTTTATGCATGGAGTGTGTAAGAGCTGTGTGTTTTCTTCAGATGGGAGGTGAGCGTGTGGAACCCGTGTTCTGTGTCGTGTGGCGTGGGGCTGCAGACGCGCAGCGTGTCCTGCGTGAGGTCTGTGGCAGGAAACCGCACTGAATCTGTGTCCAGCAAAGAGTGTCTGGAGAGAAGACCTCCAGAACTGCAGGCCTGCAACCAGGTGGCGTGTCCACCGGCCTGGGACGCTGAGGAGTGGCAGCAGGTCAGTGAGCCCCGTGATTTCAGAGAAAAGGGACTAAAGTCAACATATAAATGAAGAAGAATAGAATAGATCTTTATTGTCATTGTTCAAAGGAACAATGACAAATCCTTTAGCAGCTCTTCAATATCAGAATCACAGTAAACATTGTACACATTGTATATAAATAATAAGAACAATTGTGAAAGGAGAGACATAATGTAACTGAAAATAGGTAAATATATACAGAGATAAACGCAGTGTGGTAGTACAGAGTAAAGTAATAGTGCAGTGTAGAATATAGTGTGGGGGGGTTATTGCACATTCTTTTTTTTGAGGTATAGGGGTTTATTGCAGATTATGCATTTAACTGCCTATAGGGGAAGAAGCTATTTTTCAGTCTGTTTGCTTTGGATTTTGGATTTGAAATAATTGCAACTCCTTGTAAAAACTATAAGCTGGTGCGTAAGAATAAATGGAAGCAAATAGTCGAATAAAACAAGATAAATCCCTCACGATGCTATAGCTTGCAATATTTTAATGCAGTGTTTCAATGTGACGTTCATCTGGTTTGAAAAACAACTGACAGAAAATTAGTGCTGTATGATATTGCAAAAACTGACCTTGCGGTATTTTGTTTTCCTGCTATATATATATATATATTGTGATGTGAAAAAATGCAGGAATTTTCACCAGATGACTTGAATAGCTATATTTGGAAAGACTGAATTAATAATTTTGTTGGGGAGAGGGGAGCATATAATAATAATATTTAAAAGCTTAAAATTAAAAATGTTTCTGAGGTTTTTATTTAGTTGTTTGTTTATTTATTTGCATTTGTATAAATAATGAATAATATATTGGGATAATACTGTAAAAATTCATTCTGTAAAATAAAATAAAAAATCTCTCTCTGAAAACGATAGAACATATACAGTATTCATTTAATTAAATCACAGCATGTGCAATTTGACAATCGTACTAAGCCATATTGCAATATCAATTTTATTTCAGTATATCGTGCAGCCCTACTTAAAATATGATTTGCAACAGTATAGCAGTGTGCAGGATTCATCTACTTTTAAAGAAAGTAAAAATGACAACGAAATCTCTTTAATATCTCAATGGTTTCTCCTAGGCAAATGTAGACTTTTGCATAGATTTGCTTATATCATAAAAACAGCAGGTGCCAGAGATTCACATAAACACTTAGAAGGGCATGCTATTCTCTTTGAGCATGTTTTGGTATGGAACATGATGTGAAATCATTTTTATAGTTGATCTTGAATCTTCACGTGGCTTTTAATGACTTGGGTAAACAGCATCTGCACATCGAGTGGTGTGTGGTTGTATTTGCTCACACGCTGTGCTCTCTCTGGCTGTGGCATATGTGGAAAGGATTGATGTTGGTTTGTTTGGTCTCTGGGTCAGTGCTCTCATTCGTGTGGCAGAGGAACTCAGTGGCGTAAGGTTTACTGTAAACAGAGAATGGCTACTGGAAGTTACCGCAGGTTGAGTGACGAGGAGTGCGCTGGAACCAAACCCGACGGCCACATGATTTGCAACAACCCTGACTGTCTGCTGCCTCGTCTGGAAGGAGGAGAGTGGTCAAAGGTGTGTGTGTGTGTGTTTCTAGCCAAGCTAAACTTTGGAAATATATTTCCTATAAAAGTTACCAACACCTATTTGGGGACATACTCGAAGAGACAAATACTTCATAAATAATATTCTTGCACAGTGAGTTAAGGCTGGAATACACTGCACAACTTTGGCCCAGATTTTAACACAGATTTAGTCTGGAGAAGCTGACGCTAGTTGCTGAAAGTCAGAGCCAGTCTGCAGATTTGAGTTGACAGATTTCATGGAAAGTCGCATAGTGTTTGATGGTCACAGACTCTGATTTTTTTAGCTTCAGACTATGATTCCATCCAGTTGGAGGATATCAAACATTTTTTGAGCCAATTTTAGAACATGTATTAGTCAGTCATTTATTGTATGATGCTCAGTTTTTCCACTGTAACTGATTACAAAGATGCCTAGTGTTTCAAAATCTATTCAGATTGTAAAAGTCGTGTTGTGTATTCCAGCCTTTAGTTTGCAGTAATTACACAACCATTCAAAGATTTGGGGTCAGTCAGTATGCATGTAGGTATGTATTTATGTATGCATTTATTTATTTGGTACAATTTGGTAGCATTTTAATTATTTATATGTATTATTTCAATTATATGTGACCCTGGAGCACAAAACCAGTCTTAGTCGCTGGGGTATATTTGTAGCAATAGCCAAAAATACATTTTATGGGTCAAAATTATAGATTTTTTCTCTTTTATGCCAAAAATCATTAGGATATTAAGTAAAGATCATGTTCCATGAAGATATTTTGTAAATTTCCTACTGTAAATATATTAAAACTTAATTTGATTAGTAATATGCATTGCTAAGAACTCCATTTTGACAACTTTAAAGGCGATTTTCTCAATATTTAGATTTTTTTTGCACCCTCAGATTCCAGATTTTCAAATAGTTGTATCTCGGCCAAATATTGTCCTATCCCAACAAACAAAAAAAGCGTATTTATTCAGCTTTCAGATGATGTATAAATCTCAATTTTGAAAAATTGACACTTAAGACTGGTTTTGTGGTCCAGGGTCACATATCATTCAAAAGTTTGTTTTAAAGAAATGAATACTGTTGAGCAAGGATGCATTAAATTGATCAAAGTAAAGTAAAAGTATTTATAAGGTTACAAAAGATTTCTGTTTAAAATAAAATGCTGTTTTTTTAAAACATTCTCAAAAAAAAATAAAAAATTCATCACGATTTTCACAATAATGATGATGGTGAAAATTCAGCTTTGTCATCACAGGAATAGATTACATTTTAAAATATATTCAAATAGAAAATAATTATTTTAAATTGCAATAATAGTTCACAATATTAAGGTGTTTTTTTTTTCTTTCTTTTTTTTTCAACTCAAATAAATCCATCTTTGGTGAGCATAAGAGACTTATTTCAAAAACAAAAATTTCGATAGAAAGGCACATTTATTTCTAAAGTGAATGTTGTTCCAACCCCAGATTATTATTATTTTATTTCTTGCAAGAAACACAAAAGTAGGTATCCAAAAATGGCAATTTTGCAGATGTTAAGGCATGTTCAATCAATTTCAGAAGGATTTTCTCCAGCTGATGAATGCTAAAAACATTGACAGCCAATCAGAATTCATCCTGCTTTAAAGAGGTTGAGCATTTAAAGCAGACGACAAAACTGCAGCACGTGCGTACTGCTTATAATAAACAGAATGTTGTCAGTGTGGACACTAATATAGTTATCTTTATAGTTATTGATCTTGGGTTTGAATGGACCATTAAGCCAGGACAAACTTTCCATTTTGTGTGAACTATTCCTTTAATTGAGTTTATTTAATGTATGTATTTGTCCATATGTGTTTGTAGTGTTCTGTGACGTGTGGAAAAGGCGTTCAGCGGAGGGAACCCGTGTGTAGGAGACAGACGGCCTCCGGTCAGTTGGTCACTCTGGACAGGTCGGCCTGCAGGGACCTCCCTCTCCCTCCTCTGATCAGGAGCTGCCGTATGAGCCCATGCAGCAGTAAGATACTCTACACTTGTTTAGCTGTGTGTCTTTCCATTTCCCAACCCTCTTTACATGCAGTTTGCCACATCAGTTCACACCTGATTATGTCAATGTGAAGCATTCAATTTCTTGCACATTTCATGTAATTTATAGTTGTAATTTAATTTAGAACTGACCTCTATTTGATCTTGCTCTCACTGTGGTCTCCATACATTCTGATAGCAGCACAAGGGAAATTTCATAAAAAGATTTTGGGACCCCCCGATGTTTGGAGCCGTAGTAAAAGCACAATCCTACTTGGGTTTCATCTCAAATTTCTCAAATAAAACGCAGGGTTCTGTAGGTATCACTTAGCATGTTGTTATTATTCTCATGATACCCATGAACCAATGAACTCTCTGTGGTCATATATGTGAACATATTATGAGCATGTGAACTGCTTTGAGATGCTTTCAGATTATAGCTTAACGCTGTTGTGCAGAAAGATCGGCCTTGATAGTGTTTCTTTAAGATTAGCTTTAGGTTCTGAATTGGGTTTATTGGTTTGAATATCTTGATAAGGTCCTGTGGAATGAAGGGACGTCCCATAGCAGATCAGTCTGCAAGCGGAGAACGTATATTCCCATTGTGCCCTCATGGTTTTTGTTCTTTCGCCTAAACTTTCCAAAGCCCTTTTGTCCCATGTGATTTGACTTCACTGGGCTCGAAATCAAGAGCGGAGATTATTTGGGGGTTTCTAGAGCATTCATAACCTCACGCGAAATTAAAGTAATTAGCCCTAACCGATGTTTGAACCGTTTAAACTTCTTCCATCTCTCTCCACAGAGCACAAGCACTCCAAAAAACGTTGCCCTCTGGTCATTGGCCTGAAACGCATCTACATCCAGACCAGACAAGAAAAACGCCTCAGTTTTACCATCGGAGGACGAGCCTACCTTCTTCCCAAGACCTCCATCGTTATCAAGTGTCCCGTTCGGCATTTCCCTAAAGCTCAGGTCCGCTGGGAGAAGGATGGGAGTGATCTGACCAGTTCCAAACGTCTGAGCGTCACCAAATCTGGCGCTTTGAGGATCTACAACCTGGAGGCTGAAGATATCGGACTGTACCGCTGCTGGGCCAGCCAAGATTCAGAGATTTTCATCCTGAAGCTGATCGGATACAATAATAGACTCCTGGAACATCCTGAAGGAAAGAGTTTGGGAAGAAGAAACTTTCATCCGTATGTCAACAAAGAAGGAGGTTACGTTGGTTCAAAGTGCCGTGAGGGGTTTCCACATGGAAAGAAGGCTCCAAAATCTCGCCCGGGCTGGATGGAAAAAAACGAGTACTACCGAGATGACGATGGCCAGCCTAAGGAGCTCTGGGATACTCTTGCTTTGGGGAACTATGCTTTGGCTTCAGCCGCCAGGAGCCACACGGGAGCCTTTGTCCTTGATCCTGCACAGTTCGAGGAGCTCGTGAAGAACATCAGTCAGCTGGCCGAGAGTGGAGATGTGACAGATGAAATGGCGTTGCACCTGATTGGAAAACTTATGGAGGATTTGGCTGCTGCGGGGCAAGGGACACCAACTGAGGAAAGCACTGCGATGGACAATCATTTAGATAAGACGCCAAACACTTCTGAACGTTCTGAGGGAAAGGCGGCAAAAAAAGGCAGTCGGGCGGTTATCGGTCGACAAAAGCATCACGGATCTGCCATGAGCTTCCAGAGGGATCTCCGGATCCATGTGGGCAGGACCGCTTACCTCACCAATGCTACCCACAGCCTCACGCTGATGTGTCCCGCTCAGGGATTGCCACCTCCAAACCTCTCTTGGAGCAAAGATGGAGCTCCGCTTCAGAACAGCGACAGGTAAAGACAATGATATGTAGTTGAGGAGGTTGGAGTGCCATTCAGTGTTGCAGTTTATCTCTCTTTTTCTTACTTTCTGCAATTTCTTCTTCTTATTTCGTCTTAAGCTACAATTTGTGAACTAAACACCAAAAAGTTTTTGGTCATCAGCTTGTTTAAATCCATTTAAATATTGTTCTTTTTTATGGAGGACAAAATTATTGTTTATGAATAGGGATGCACATTATACTGTACCGATACTATATTGGTTTATATTTACAGTTATGTATTTAGCAGATGCTTTTAACCAAAGGGACTTACATTGGGAATCAAATCCATGACCCTTGACGCTAACACTATGCTCTAGTGTTTGAGTTACGGAATCAGCCATTATCTGTAAAAAATTGTCATTTAATTGCCAATATTGAATATGTATCAATTACAACGTAGTGTAAATGTATAAAATTAGCCATTTGTTGGTTTACAGGCATAACGCAAAAATAATTATTGGCATATTAGTGTTATTTTAGTATTTTTTGTACTATTATAGTATTTATTAATATTTTTAATTAGCTTTTATTTTTATATTTTTCATTTTATTTTAAGTTTTAGTGACTTTGTGTGCTTCTGTCATTTTTTTCAAACGTTTTTTTTATATATTTAGCTTTTATTATTTAATAATTTTAGTATAAAATTAAACTTATTTTATTTCAGTTAGTTGCCAAGACAACATTTCTGATTTTCATTTAATATGTATATAAATATTTTCTTTTTTATTTGATATATAGATTAGTTATATTCTTCAAAATATCTCCTTTTATGTAACAATTAGAGTTATCAGTTTTAGATGAGCTATTCCTTTAAATGCGTAATTTTGTGTGTGCATGCTGGGGCTCAAAGTATAACTAATGGCATAGACGTTTTTGCTATAACACACCAATGCAGTGTCTGATTACAAATCTTCTGGAATTCACATGACTTTTCTCTTTTTTTTCGGTTATTATCAACCGCAGTTCTTTTAGTCCAACGAACATGATGTTGGAAACGAGCAGAGTTCAACTTTAACACCAAAAAGCAATTTTTTCTCTCTTTATAGAAAACAAGACTCCCTCTGTACCTCTGAGTCCAGCCGTGACTGATCTTGATTGAGCAACCGCATATTCCAAACGCCTGTTAATCACCAACCCACTCAAATATTCACCTCCAGAGCACCCTAGATCTCACGTTATGCAGTCTGTTGGGGTCAGAAATACTGGCTGTGCTTCTTTCGCTTGCTCTCCAGGGTCGCATTGTGGTCTAATCGTCTACTCTTTACTGTTGACTGTTAAATATCGTCATTGAAAACATTGACTTAGTAACTCAGCTTTGTCCAGCTCATGGCCTTAACATAGCCTCCACCCAGACAGTCGCCAAACATTGTCTGCCCCTCTTCCTGGCGTGCGCTATGGGACCTGAAAGAGACATAGCTGTGCAAACATTGTTCAGGCCTCTTCTCGCAGCCTTGGCTTGAAAACCCAGCAGCCCTGAGGTGAATCGTCAAATACTGAAGCGCTTTAACTTTCAGAGGTCACTTTTAAATTGAGCTGTTGGGTCATGCTATGAAACAGATGCATTTTCCAGTTGGATAAAGTGGTTTTGATGTCCATTTTTGAGACTTTAGACATTTTAGGAGATAAATAATATGTTTAAGTATTAATTGCATTGTGCCATCTCATGCTAAATTAGCACATTTTAAAATGTTGAGTTACCTTCAGAAAGGTGAAAGCGCATTCAGAAAGAGAATATAATATGGAAATCTATACAAATATCCAACAGCTGCAACAGGGCATAACATTTATTATTTTCACCTACAGCATAATTATTGATTAAAAAGAGGAGACTTTTCCTTAAAGATTTCCTTATAGATAGGACTTTGTCTTTTTAATAATTAATTAGTTTAAAATCTAAGAGTGCAATATATGCAGTCTTGTATGGAGAGATTATATTATATTATAGCTTTTATTTCCTTATATTTATTTTTTAAATGTGCATGTTTGCTAATATAGCATTAAGTTGGAAACTGCTGTTTTAGAAAAGAAAAAGAAAAAATACATAAGTCAAATAAAGTTATTGTATTTTTGTTGATTAATTTAGCAAAATGTCTGTGTTGACACACTGTGAAAGCCGACATTAGTTAATCATTGTTAAAAATAATTTTTACATATGTACTTTATAAGGAAGACACGTTTTGTAGAATTATCATGTTGATTTTGACAGTTTGGTTTTATGCTAAATATTCGTCGCTTGTCCCATCCATTATCAGATTTTATTGGAATCAGATTTTATTTTATTGGAGTTGGGATTTAAAAGAAATCTGAAGTTCAGATGAGGGGAACAATCTTGTTTTCAACCATTTTTTTTGGATCATGCACAATTATTTTATAATGCTTTATTTATTTATTATACCCCAGTTATTTTGACCACACTATTGCTCAGAGCTGCCAAATAATTTTCCTCCCACTCTTTTGTTGACAGCCGTGTTTGCGTGCGGTCTCTACTGCATCACTGCTGCCATCAAAACAGTGCTATTTAATGCCACTTGACTTCAAAACCAAATATAATGTCACTGCCAACTCATACCAGCCCAGTGCCAACCCAGAATGAATGCATTCCACTCCTACAGAGTAATATTTACAATTAGATCATGTTATTCTTCCCTCACTGCAGGTATTGGGGATATTTTAAACATGTCTCGCTATACAGAAATAAAATACAGTGTGTCAGAGTTTTTTTTATTGATGGGAAGAAACAAAAACAAAAAAGAAAAATCTGTCTACCCATCTGTCTGTCAAGAAGTTCAAGAAATTTGTGAAGGTAAAAATTTGATAGCATTTTAATTATGTATATGTATTATTTGAATTATATACACTATTGTTCAAAAGTTTGGGGTCAGTAAGATTAAAAAATAATAATAATAATAAATAATAATAATATAATACATCAATTAAAAGTGACCGTAAATTTTTTTTTAAGTTTTCCACAAAAATGTAAAGCAGCATAACTGTTTTGAAAACAGTGATATTTTAACTTAATATTTAACAATATTACTATTTTATTTTGACCACACTATTGCTCAGAGCTGCCAAATAATTTTCCTCCCACTCTTTTGTTGACAGCCGTGTTTGCGTGCGGTCTCTACTGCATCACTGCTGCCATCAAAACAGTGCTATTTAATGCCACTTGACTTCAAAACCAAATATAATGTCACTGCCAACTCATACCAGCCCAGTGCCAACCCAGAATGAATGCATTCCACTCCTACAGAGTAATATTTACAATTAGATCATGTTATTCTTCCCTCACTGCAGGTATTGGGGATATTTTAAACATGTCTCGCTATACAGAAATAAAATACAGTGTGTCAGAGTTTTTTTTATTGATGGGAAGAAACAAAAACAAAAAAGAAAAATCTGTCTACCCATCTGTCTGTCAAGAAGTTCAAGAAATTTGTGAAGGTAAAAATTTGATAGCATTTTAATTATGTATATGTATTATTTGAATTATATACACTATTGTTCAAAAGTTTGGGGTCAGTAAGATTAAAAAATAATAATAATAATAATAATAAATAATAATAATATAATACATCAATTAAAAGTGACCGTAAATTTTTTTTAAAGTTTTCCACAAAAATGTAAAGCAGCATAACTGTTTTGAAAACAGTGATATTTTAACTTAATATTTAACAATATTACTATTTTAGTTTTAAATATATTTGATGTAGTAAAAACTAAAACTTTTTTCAAAGCATTAACAAAGAGCTTCATACAATTACTACATGCTACATTATCCTTCCTGCCAAAATAAATATATAATAACAACAACAATAATAATAAAACATACAAAATAAATAAATAGATAAACTTTAGCCTAATGCATACATTTACAAATGATCACATTTATATAAAAAATAAATAAATGAATATAAGTTCACATTAAACACAATAAATAATATTATACACATTAAAGGGGTCATATAGTGCTATTTTCAGAGATCATTATTTGGTGTATTTTGGTGTAATGGAATATGTTAGCGTGCTTTAATGTTCAAAAAACACATTATTTTTCATTATTGTAGCTCCTCAATGCCCAGTCTTCCTAAAACACGTTGATTTCAACAAAGCCCCTCCTTCCTGAAAAGCGCAGTGTGCTATGATTGGCCAGCTGACCCAGTGCGTTGTGATTGGTCGAACATTTCAAGCACGTGTCGGAAATGTAACACCTCTTACCATAATCGCAAGCTTCAGCTTCCAAAGCAACTATAAAGACAGTTAATAATGTTGTCAGTTTTACCGTATCAGTCCGACACATTGAATGATACTCATATGTTTTTGCAGTAGAAAAGCCGCGGTCAAGCTGCATGTGACACTGCCAGTGTAAAAGCACAACAGGCACGTGCTGCTTCAGCTCTGCTTGAAACACAACACGTTGTGCATCTATGTTTGTCATCTTTTCGCCATCATTATAAGCACAGAACAGAGGATACTATGTTTTTAAAATAAATCCATCTTTTCACTTGTGATCATAAGAACGGCAAATGATATGCATTACTCTACACTTCACCAAACTCTGCATTTGAACAGTCAATGGCAAATAATAAAACTTACTCACAGTCTCTGATTCAGAAGAGCTAGATTGTCTGAGCAAAGTTGGAATTGCGCCATTTTTTTTAAACAGCCTTTGTGCACAGCCAGCCATCTACTCTCTCAAGTTCAGAAAACTATTCTCTGTAAAATGCTCTGCACAAACATGAACATTTGAATTGTTGCCTACTGTTCTGTAACAGTATTGTAAATAAATCTTAACCACTGATTCCTAATTGTATCCACTTTCGGAAGGCCAAATAAAGTGATTTTGCTTTCGGCATTATGCAAATATTTCCACATAATGCACTCTCAGAAAAAAAGGCACACCTTTGTACCTAAAGAGTCCATATTGGTACTTTAAAGGTACATATTAGTACCTAAAGTGTACATATTAGT